ACAGGATATAAAGATGGACAAACGCATCACATCCTCTAGGAACTTAAACTCTAGTGGGCAAGATAAAATATAAATAAGGGAGAGGAAGCAGTATTTGTTGAGCATAAGCTATAGGCCTCAAACTGCTGAAGATCATGAAAGCCTCTTCTCTCAAAACTCATGATCTCTACCCAAGTCTCTTCAGCTGCTTAAGAGGTGATTTTTAAATTGATTCCCTCAGGAACAGGAACAGGCTACCAGACTAGTTCACCATACCACATTCTGGTAATAATTATTCTTATTTTTTTTCAGTATACATCACCAGCAAAGTCTCACAAAAGGAAGAAAATGGTGAGAGTCCCACTTAATATATACAAAGATCCCTGCTCCCTGCAGTGTCCTGGGGCAGGGATGGTGCCTGAGGGCAGGGGACAGTCCCTTGCCGGTCCAGCTTGCACCAGGTCCTAAAGTGGCCCTAGGGCCATGCTGGGCACACAGTCTCCAGACCTGGATGTTCTTCTGTGTCCTTTCCTGAAGAAGGGGGATAGAACAAGTAAGAGAGAGAGAGTCTCTGGAGCGATACAGGATGGCCTGGGATGGGACCAGAAGCCCATCTCTGTATTCAAAATCTCTGGTATAGGTACTGCCATACTTCAAGAGGGTCTAGTTGGCTGTTGGGTTTTCTGAGGCTTGGGAGGCAGGGCTTGAGTGGAATGCATGGGCCCCTCCAGATAAACTCATCCAATGGCACCTTGGTAGGGAATCACTTGGAGCCTCTGTAATGGTACCCTTAATGCTTATTAAACTTTTTTTGAGGAGGGGTTAGTTGAATTCCTCCTTGCACACATCATCCCACAAAATGAAAGCCCAGCAATCAACCAGGCCCTATCAGAAGACAAACTAGGGCACGTCCGCCCATGTTCAGTGGTGGCGAGAGGATCGGGTGTCATATACACTGGGGGCTTATCAAACGCTTTCAAACTCTACAGCAGGCACGGGTCCATCATCCCCAGAAGGCTACTGATCAACAGAAGTCTCTTCATCTTATCCCACTTCCATGGTGGGGATGGGGCGAAGGCGGGTGTTAGGATGGTGCTGCTCAAACTTCAATGCACTTAGCAGCACCAAGGCAGCTTGTTTGATTTTGCTTCTGATTCAGCAAGTCTGAGAGTCTGTGTTTCTCACAAGCTCCCAACTGATACTGCGGACCACACTTTGAGTAGGAAGACTTTAGAATAACATATAGATTTGTGCCCACAGCAACTGCCAGACTAGCCCATGCCTTGACCCACCTGGCAAGGATACAAGGAATTCACTACCTGAAGGGCAGACAAGGTGAAACGGCCTGAGTTCCTGCCCAGGGTTCAGTGTTTGGCAGAGCTGCTGCATTGCTCATTGCTTAGACCTGCCCCCCCCCCGCTCCCCGCTAGTCACCTACTCAGTAATACTTCTCCCCTGCCTTTACTCTCTGTAGCCTGGGGTCTGCCCTGTAGGGCAAATAATACTGCTCAACATCTCTTCCAAATTCGGGAACTGAGTTTCTGTAGAGAAAAACTGTTAGAGGAGAGGCACTGATTGGATGGGGAAAATTAAGATTTATTCTTATCAGACCTGGAGAAGACACTCCCTTAGGGAATCCTGTATGCCAGGATTACATCAGCACTGCTCCTCTGAGCCCCTTGAAGGTGAATCTTACTATCGCCATTGCGCATATGAGGAGACTAGAGTGCAAAGGGGCTGAGTGACACGCTGGGCATGGCCCAGGTCCTAGATGACAGGAACACCCCTCAACCAGCCTGACTCTGCCCCCAACAACCCTCCCATAGAACTGCTTCAGGCGAAGAGAATGATCTCCCTAGAGCAAAGGGAGAATTTGGCAGAGATCTCCAAAGGGACAGTTAATTAGGAATAAAGCTTTTCCTTTTCATTCAGGCCCAGTTATGGCTGGGATCTGGCACATTTACTGTGATTGTCTTGACATGTAGACGGTGCCCATTGAGGTTAATAAGGTTAATTACTACACTGAGTTCAACACTTCTGAACACTGCTGTTCAGTATTTAGGATGGCCAAATCACCTTCTCTTGATAAACACTTACATTTCTTCACCCTGAAATAAGTTATGTTTTATTCAATAAGGCCACACTCACTCTCAGGCTAGGACAGGCACTCATGACTCTGAGAATCTCACACTGGAGATGCTGCCACTCCATCTCTCCAGACCCCTGTTCTACCAGGTCCTACAAGTCCCCTCCCCACTGCCAACCAAACGGGACTTCCTTGAATTCCCATGGATTCCTGCTGGGTTTTCCTCAATGACTTGCAAAACCTCTCAGCAGTTCCCACGGCAGACAGTTTGGGGACACACGGGGTTTTGGACTCGAGCTGCAGGTGACCCCTTCTATCTGCCAGTTGTGAGCAGCCCAGTGGGGATGGTGTGCTCATGTGGGAACTAACAGAAAGGAATTGCTGGGGGGTTCTCATGGCCCAGGGCCCCCCATGGACACAGCAGGTCTCTGTCAGGGACACACCCAAGCTGGACAGGAAGTCTGCAGGCAGAAAGGCCCCTGAGCCCAGTGCTGGCAAAGGCGAGTCCTGTGAAATGGAGCTTGCCATCCCTCCAGGAGTCCCAAGGAATCTGTTTTTATTGCTGAACCAAAATTGGGAAAAAGCGTGAAAGTAATGTGTGTGGAGAACACAGAGAATGTCCCTTCTCTCCCCACAAAAGTGTTAGAGGGACACAAAATCAGACAGAATAGGCAGCCCTGCACCAGCCCGGTGGATTTTCAAGGCTTTCTGGGTGGCCCAGCTTCAAGGGGCTGCTGCCATCCTTAAGCTGAGACAACAGGCCACAGTAATTTCCCCAGGGACCCAATCATAGTGTGAGACTCCTTCCTCCCAGCCCCCACCTCAGGACCCACACCCTCCCAGGAGCGGGGAGATGGGCCCAGAGTCACCAGGCTATAGACGTTTGTTGGCACTGGCTTGGGGAATTCATCCCTTGTGCTTTAAGTAGCAATTATGAACCATATGTAATTTTGGAAATTGGCAATTTTTTACAAAACCGGAAGGAGACAGGAATAAGTCTCAAGAATTCCAAGAAAAAATCACTGTCAGAAATAAATCTGTCTCAAAATAAAATCTAAAGTCCTTCCACAGCCTAGGAGGTCCTCTGTGAGCTGGCCCTGCTCCCGTCTCCCCTCCTAACCACCTCCCTCACGCCTCTCCTCTCCAGGCATACCTTGCCTCTTGTAGTTTGTCAAATACATTGAACACACTCCCACCCACTCTCGCCTCAGGGCCTTTGCACCTCCTACCCCCTCCCAGAATGCTCTTCCCCAGCCATCTGCCTGCTCACTCCCTTGCTTCATTCAGGACTCACCCAAATGCCACTCTGTCAGATAAACCTTCAACAGCCACCAGAATACACACTCTCTTTCTTAAGTTAGCCACTGAAACTGACGACGCTTTTAGTCCTATTTTATTAATATCCACAAGTTAGATTTTAGGTAAGTTGATAAATTTAAAGTCTTACAGATGATGCGTTTTTATTTAAAATGACAAGGTTAAATGCCACATATCTATTTCCTTTTTGATTTGTTTTGTTTTGGTTCCTTTTCCAAATGCCTTTCCTCTTGCTGTGCCTTCCAAAACTGCAAGTCATGGACTTTGTCTCTCAAGGGAGCTGTTTGGATGGCGTATTAAATGAGCCCACTGACATGCAGGACGGCAAGGACCTTGACAACAGTGTAAGTAGGATGAAAACTCAAAACCACCTTGCTCCAAATGGTAGAGGAGGGTGACCCAGCAGCACCAGCCCGTGACCGTCTCTGGAGCCTTGGGATTCGCAGCTTTACTCCTTTGTTAGCACAGCTGAAGGGTGCTTTGCTTAAAACCAACAAAAGTTTAAATGACACACCTTAAATCAAAAAGGTTTAGAAGCAACCCAGTGGGGGTTGCTTATCACCCTGTTGATAACACAAGCAGACACTCTCCAGACTGCTTTTGAAGGCAGGAAAGACAAAAACAAAACATGTAAATTACCTAGGCAGCAAGGCAAATCATTCTGCATAGAAGCCCTATGCAAATGAAATTAGATTCTGGAAAGATGGACTAGAAATACTTTTCCCACGAAGTACAGCTTAAAACCCTATGTGTTGAATATAAAACAAACATAAGAAGCTTTTCTTTCTGCCTTCTCTGAAAGGCAGAGAAAAAAGACTGCTAGGAACTTTGGGACCCAAGGAATGACAAGGGGGTGAGTTTCCTGAGTTTTCTTTCTACTTCTTACATCCCTGGGTGCTAGAAAACACAGCAGCCCAGAGATTCCAGTAAGTACAGACAAACCAAAGTCCCAAGAAAACCTGCTGTCTCTAGTCAAAGTACAAGGAAAGGGGCAGCTTAGCAAGACAGGAAGTCTAGACAACATCCTCTGCAGAGCAGGCAAACAGCAGAGGATCACAGGCCCCAAATCTGCAGACGTGTTACCACCACCCTTCAGAGCAGCACAGAACCGGCTCCAGAGAGTCAACAGATGTCCTTCCTCCAGCCAATAACCAGAGATGGGAAGTCACATAATAGTTTGAGGAAGCCTTACATCAACAGCATGTTGTTACTGTCTTTACTGAATTAATTTTTTTGCCTGTGGTACAGCCTGGTGGATCAACTTAACCTCCACAACTTTACAGCACATGTTGATTTCAGTGGAAACATTATTATGCACCCTTTCCACTAAGGCTAAAAAATTGTCTCAGTATTGGCAATACTAACTGCAATCACAGAGTGAAATCTTGTGTCCCTGGAACTCAAAATTAAGTAGATATGTTTTTCTAAATTTGCAAAAGAAAAGGCAAAATAAAAAAAGCTAGGTATTTAGGGTTTGTTTGTTTGTTTGTTTTAATTAGGAAATGCTCTGGTCTCAGTTCATATTGAGACCTAAATTCCTGATTTTCCACACTTGCTTTTATACATATCATATTAATAAGAATTACTTTTCAAGTGCTAAAATACCACATGAAGGGAGAAAAAAGATTACTTGAACTTAGAATCACTGCATTGCATTTACTAAGAGAGGAAAGTAAACTCAGGCATTTTAGAAAGATTTTTTTGGCAAGAGTAGAAATCTAAAGGAATTGTTTTAATTGAAACTTAAATTATTCAGAAACCTTCAGCAGGCCATCCAGTGGAGGCTCTGCCATCTCGGGCAGAGCTGCAGTCACAGGCAGGGGTGAGGACCCCCGTTCCCCACATGGCCATGCAAGGCTTTGTATGAGCGCCGCTCGCTGGGAGGGTTCTGTGTGACATGTGGGCTGCACAGGCAAGCTCTGGTCACAAGCACCTTGCCTTGCTATCTCAGGGGCTTTCCCAGGTGACATGGCCTGGCACAGAGCTGCAGGACACTTCCCCCTATACTTACATTGCTGTGACAGGCAGCAATGCAGCCTGGGGACACAGGATGTCTTCAGGCAAGTTCTAAGTGGCAGTTGTGGACATGTGGGCCCAGAGCAGGACAGGAAGAATGGAATGAATGCCACATGGTTCCCGCAGCTGGAAGACTTCTTTGTGTGGACTCTTAAGGCCTGCTGGGGGAAATACCAGAAACCACCAAGGTACAAACTGGGGAGGTGCTGCTGAAGCGCTCCTATTTGGATGGGGGCTACCATACTTTGGTTATCCTGACAGTTCGACAACTTTGCTGTTTCTATTTCTCCAGACATGTGTGTTTTACTTCTGTGACACACTCATGCATCACAAACTCTCCTGTGGTTTCCCGAACTAGAGATTCACCCAGGAGGAGTCTCAGGCATGGGGTACCCAATACACCTCCAATGAAGATGGGGATAGTTCTACAGGCTAGAGAAGCAAATGGGACAAACCTCACATGCTAGCTAAATCAAGCGGGAAGGCATAGCCCGGATGGGACCATAACTTCAATTAGGCCCACCCAGTGGGTCTGTGCCTGGTGGCTCATGGTGGGCACCGTATTTTCAGGTGAACAAAACAGAATCCAGAGGGGATGATGAGAGATCACCAGCCTAGACCAATAGAAGTTGCTCCATTCAAAGGAAGAGATTATCAACAATGAGCAATTTAGAGGCAGGAACATCAGCACTATGGGCCTTAACCTCAATCTGTCTCAAAGCCCTGATTCCTGTGTTAAAGGATAAATTAAGGCATATTAAACATTTAAGAGTTTATCTGTATATGTATCATTCAACTCAGGCATCAGCAAACAAGAACTCCCCTAAATCCTCCACTGAGAGAAGCTTAGGGGGAAACTTTTATAGAGAAAAGGTAGAAACAAAGCAAGGAAATTATACCTTAAATCCTAGGTAGCTGTTTATGAATGGTTGTCCTTAGTCTGCAGTTCACAACCTGAAGGCATCCACAGGCTTAGGTTATGGTTTGCAAACACAGGCCACCACGTGGCATTAGAGCCGCCTCAGTCTAATGATTTCCTTGCTTAATTCAACTCCAGTAATGGGAAGAGGAGTGTGCAGAGACTGGGAGTCAGGCAAGCCACACCTGAGGCACCCCAGCCTTACCCCAACCTAGAAAACCAGCCAACCACAAGTTTCATTCTCCTGTCCATCCCAGGGCATGTGTAACTCTGGATACACTGGCCTTCCACTTACTACAGGAGGCTAACAAGTTAATGGCATACTACTATCCATTATCAAAAGCTGAACAACCATGATGACAACTTCAACCTGTGGGTGAGCAGGGCAACATGACAGATTCATGCTTTTCCTGGACAGCAAGCCAAACTTCACTTTCTATCAAAGGAATCCCAAAAAAGGAACCCTTGCGAGGGTCAGTCCTAGTTAGTATTACAGACTTAAAATAGGATGATCAAATTTACAAAATACAAAGGCAGCCTGCAATGTCACTACTTTGAAAGAATTTCTAAACACACAGCTGTCCACTACAATAACCTTCTGGGCACTACAGTGCTTTCCTGAAGACCGTCATCTTTCACACTGAATAAATTAGCAACCACCAGGAACTTGGCCATTTCTGGAACTCAGAATGTCTGTTATGCTCTTAAAGTATGGAAGCATTTTTATGTTCTACAGCCATCTCCACATTTGAAAGAAGAGGTAATCTTATGCTCTCAAAAGATTTCTTGGCATACATCTGTTTAAAAATTCTTGAGGGAGTTAACTTCAATTAGGCCCACCCAGTGGGTCTGTGCCTGGTGGCTCATGGTGGGCACCGTATTTTCAGGTGAACAAAACAGAATCCAGAGGGGATGATGAGAGATCACCAGCCTAGACCAATAGAAGTTGCTCCATTCAAAGGAAGAGATTATCAACAGTGAGCAATTTAGAGGCAGGAACATCAGCACTATGGGCCTTAACCTCAATCTGTCTCAAAGCCCTGATTCCTGTGTTAAAGGATAAATTAAGGCATATTAAACATTTAAGAGTTTATCTGTATATGTATCATTCAACTCAGGCATCAGCAAACAAGAACTCCCCTAAATCCTCCACTGAGAGAAGCTTAGGGGGAAACTTTTATAGAGAAAAGGTAGAAACAAAGCAAGGAAATTATACCTTAAATCCTAGGTAGCTGTTTATGAATGGTTGTCCTTAGTCTGCAGTTCACAACCTGAAGGCATCCACAGGCTTAGGTTATGGTTTGCAAACACAGGCCACCACGTGGCATTAGAGCCGCCTCAGTCTAATGATTTCCTTGCTTAATTCAACTCCAGTAATGGGAAGAGGAGTGTGCAGAGACTGGGAGTCAGGCAAGCCACACCTGAGGCACCCCAGCCTTACCCCAACCTAGAAAACCAGCCAACCACAAGTTTCATTCTCCTGTCCATCCCAGGGCATGTGTAACTCTGGATACACTGGCCTTCCACTTACTACAGGAGGCTAACAAGTTAATGGCATACTACTATCCATTATCAAAAGCTGAACAACCATGATGACAACTTCAACCTGTGGGTGAGCAGGGCAACATGACAGATTCATGCTTTTCCTGGACAGCAAGCCAAACTTCACTTTCTATCAAAGGAATCCCAAAAAAGGAACCCTTGCGAGGGTCAGTCCTAGTTAGTATTACAGACTTAAAATAGGATGATCAAATTTACAAAATACAAAGGCAGCCTGCAATGTCACTACTTTGAAAGAATTTCTAAACACACAGCTGTCCACTACAATAACCTTCTGGGCACTACAGTGCTTTCCTGAAGACCGTCATCTTTCACACTGAATAAATTAGCAACCACCGGGAACTTGGCCATTTCTGGAACTCAGAATGTCTGTTATGCTCTTAAAGTATGGAAGCATTTTTATGTTCTACAGCCATCTCCACATTTGAAAGAAGAGGTAATCTTATGCTCTCAAAAGATTTCTTGGCATACATCTGTTTAAAAATTCTTGAGGGAGTTAGAGAGTGAGGAGAGGGTATGATGATGAAAATATTCCTTAAAAAAATCTTGCTAGCTATCGTACTATTCCCAATGTTTGTGTTTTTCAAATAACATGTTCAAACCTCATCTGACACTTTTGAGAGTCAGAAAAGTGATTGATTAGTCAATCATTAATTTCCATTTTCTGGATATTTCGTTCTGTGATCCTTTTTGCAGCTTTTTAACAGCTCCTATCAGTCAGTGCTTAGGGCCCTGCTGAAAGGCTCGGCGACTTGCAGTGAACTGGAAGAGGATATTGACATTCCCCTGACTGGGCATCTGGACAGCGAAGCCAGAAGGAAGCTGGGAAGTCTGTAAGTGACTGGAGAGACCGTGCTGCTGGTCAGTGGGTTCCAATAGGCCAGAGGTGGCAGCAGGAAAGTGTAACTTGGGTCACCAGAGAAAAGACCAGGGCCAGGACCAGGCAGGTCCCTCCCCTGAGTCAAAGAGCAGGCACAGGGCAAAGGTAGGACCAGGGCTCAGGCAGACACACAATCTGGCTGCCAAAACTCAAGAGCAAGGAAATCTACAAGCATGGTGGTACAGGATAGGATCAAAGGCAGGCAGTGACAGAAGTTGGAAATCCAGGTAGGAAAAGTCTTGAAGGAACCATGAACTTGTACAAAAGTCTGGAGAGCAAGGCTCAGAGCCCTGGGCCTCTGAAGAAAGGGGGCAACAGAAGATTAAGATCCTGGGCATCTTCCCAAGAAATTCCCTAGCTTTATCCTAGGCTAGCTAATGCTCTGCCATGCTCCCTGCAGGGGAAAAAGCCATTGAGTTTCACTGACCAAAGAGTCATGGCCAAAGCACCCATTTGGTGTGGGAATGGTGAGGTTATTGCAGACTGCTGGCATCAAGTCTTTCTAGTTGGCATTGGCCCAGATCACAAAATGTTCCACAACCCCCGTGGTGAATGGAAGCCTGGGTTTCCATTTATCCAGCTGTCAGAAACCTTGATGAGCAAGGTGCACGCTCAGGCCTTCCACGGGTTACTGCAGACTCTATGGCAGTGGCACCAAGGAACAGGCCATGGGGGCTGAGGTGCTCTGCATGCAAAAACCAGAGAGATTGACTGCCCGCAACTTCTACTTTGGGCTCAGTAGAATCCTGAGGCCAGAGACCCCTGAGACTTCTCTAGGAAAGAGGAAGCCCAAGTAAAAAATGCAAAACACAAAGAACATCCTTCAGACCCTTACACAGCTGCAAAAACAAAAACCACTTAGCATCCCGATAAGTTACCATGCCTCAGAGGTGACATTTCTCCCCATTCCTTCCCAT